TCTATATATGGTAACTTATTAACTTAAGTTCCTTAACCCTAAACCCTAAACCCTTAACCCTAAACCCCAAACCCTTAACCTAAAACCAAAACCCTTAACAGCAACCCAGTAAAGGGAGGTCCTAGGCTTTATAGTGGACGCATGGGTCAAAAACGCAGGGGCCTGGTCCTTCGTGCAATCTCTGCCAGGATTACCATCCCAATACATGGAGCCCCTTTAGGGTTTAGGGTTTAGGGTTTGGGGTTTAGGGTTTAGGGTGCCAGGATTACCATCACAATACATGGAGCCCTTTTTGGGGTTTAGGGTTATAGTAATCCTAGTAATCGCCCTCCCTTCTCCGCAAAACGCAGGTCTCGATCTCAGGGTCTGCCGATAGGTTCTTGAAAGGCTATTCTTAGGCTCCCTATGTCTATCCTCAATTTCTAAATCATCCGAAGCTTACATGCAAGAATCGTTAAGCTGAGAAACCAAATATATGAGCTGCCTACCATGCAGCCGCATCATTCAACCCCAAGAACTTTGAGACCCTACACCTGACCCTGAAAACATGGCCCTAACCCCTACTTGATCCCCAAGATTCTGGCCTCAATTTTACCACACCCTATAGTCAAATCAAGTAGATAGAATAAGACATTGTCCAAAGTCGTAATAAGATCCCCATATACCCCATATTCTGTACCCTTTGTAACCTCAGCATTTTCATAATTTCCATGTTCGTTTGCATCATTTCCTTTTAACCAAAATGCAACCCCACAGTCTATCTACATAATGGGGGACTCGTCACTGAAGGCTGCTTGCATTGCGTGCCTGCCTGCTTTCCCACTCAGAGAGCAAAGCCAGCACCAGTGGGGCTACAGTAGCCGAATCCCCGTCGACGAAGTCGAAATTGGGATCCGCCTCAAAGATGGCAGGAAAGGGTTGTAGTCACTTTTTCTGATCATGCTCAATATATGCATTGGTCTGACATTTTGTTGTGCTGATCCGGTCCTTGCCATTGTGGCACTTGCTGATCATCCTCAAAATGTTGACGCCAGCGGCGGTCATGAGCTGCTCCTAAACTTTCCAAGCTTTCCAAACCTGAATCCCGAACCCCTAAGATCCCAAACAACCGCAGGAACGGAACGTAGGCTCCAGCAACTAAGGGCCAAACTGCATCCTTGCAATGTCGTGTAGTTATGCTCTAACTCAGGGAGCTAAGATCCAAAAAAGCAAACAAGGTGGGTGGTCTGAGGACCAATACGCCCACCCCCCCCTTGAACGGAAGCGCCTTCTTGTCTAACAATGCCTTCACCGCAGAGGCATCGCCTTTGCAGATTGCAATGGCCATCTCCTCGCCAGTTAAAAGGCGAATTCAAGCTTTTGGATTAGGATTTGGATTTGGGTAGATACGCTTTCTCCTGTATAAGAGGTACACAAAGCAATGTTGTGTTCCAGGGATTTGCAGAAGTTGCTCTATCATTCAGCGACAGTCGACATGAGCATGTAGGGCGTCTCTGGTTACTTCGAAGGTGTGTCTCAAAACCCTTAACCGCGCATCTGACAGCCCTCTAAACGAACCCTTGATCAGGGATATCAACTCTCTATGGGAAGAGGGGGCCTTCTATAGAGAGCAGCATCAGCGCAAGCAAAGTGCTTAATCCCCTCGCATGGCCACAGCCTTCTTCCCCCTCATATGATACATGCCCTGCACAACCCAAGACGTCTAAGATTGGCGACAGGAGCTGTTTCGGGCTTTAGATGGGATTGCAACTGAGTAGTGTTTTTGGGTTAAACCCAGTAAGATTATTTTCCTTATATAAACTACTATACCCCAAAAGGAGGATATAATCTTACTCTATATTGGGTACCATAGTATCCCCAAATCAAATACTACTCACATGATCCTGTTTCATTTCATTTTCCATTATCTTTTCCATTTGATTCTCCATTATAGGGCCCTAAACCCTACATTAATATAGTCCCCCTTAAGTAGATAGAATATGGGGTATATGGAGATCTTGATATAATATATCCAAAGCCATATTCTATCTACTTAAGGGGGACTATAATACTACTCACTACTCAACTGCAGTTTCTGCATTCCAGGCCTGGTGGAGATCCAAGAGGGGAAATCGCTCGACTGATCGGCTGCAGAGGGACCTGTTGAGTCCCTACAAAGGGGGACCCCAATATAGACCGAAATACTATAATCGCATCATAGGAACCCCGATATAAACACCAAAATACTAGAATCCTTATTATAGGGATCCCCATATATCAATATAGACCCCAATATACTAGAATCCTTATTATAGGGACCCCAATATGCCAAACCCCACCTGTTGATTCATGGTTGGTGGCTTCCAGAAGTGTCGGGTGTGAAGCTGTAGACATTCTGGCGAACAAAGCAGTTTGCCAGGATCCTCCTTGTACCCTTTAAATTGGGGTATATGGTACTTTCCCTAAGGGGACCCCCAACCCTGAACCCTAAACCCTAAACAACATAATCATTATTATGGGGATCCCCAATATGGTACCCCCAATTTTTGTAAACCCCCATATGGTCCCTATTTAGGGTATGCATTTGGTAGATGGAGGGTCCAGGTGGGTTCCCCGTCTTGGAGATATGCAAGCTGGTCAAAGAACGGGCGGTCTGAATGAGGGTTGACGGGGTAGAAAAGTGGCTGCTTGTACGTACAGTGTATGGGAGGCGAAAAATCTTAGGATCTAGTAGTTAGCCGAGGTCAGGGGTTTGGGGACTTGAAGATTGCAGTGAAACTTCTTCAAGAACCATCGGCCTTACTCCTGCACCTCCTCCCCAATGAGGTAATATGAGGGAGGCTCAGGGTGTAGGATCCTGAAAGCCTAAAGCCTGGAACCCTCAACCTTAGCCCCAAAACCCTTAACTCTAAACCCTTAAACCCTAAACCTTAGGAGGGCCCCCCTCTCTGCAATCGTGGTATAAGGGGAATATAAGAGGACCCGAATATAATCCTCATTATCCATAATAGTGGGGGGTCCTGCTAACCTAAATCCCAGAAACCTTAAACCCTTAAACCCTTAAACCCTAAACCCTAAACCCTAAAACCCTAAAACCCTAAAACCCTAAACCCTTCTCTTTGGATTTCAGGGATTGAATGATTGAGCAATGGAGGCTGAGGCTTGATAAGGGAGAGCCGCTAGGCTCCGTGGCAGGACCCTCCTTGTACCCTTTAAAGAGTTTAGGGTGTAGGGGTTTAGTTCAGGGGGTTAGGGGCTAGGGTTTAAGGGTTGAGGGATTTAGGGGGCTCAATTTACCCATTAAATAGGCAATATGGTCCCCATTTGAAGTATGTACAGGGTAGATGGAAGGTACTTTAGCATTTGATTCTGGTATCTGACAATTTTCTGCAGGGTTCATTCCATCCATGCATTCTTGGGTGGCACGGGGCATCTTAGTACTTTCAAGCCAAGTTTGCGAGAAAGAGCCGACACGGGAAGTTTCGCATACTATAAACCTTATATGACCCATTATGTAATAATTTCCAGTTTCTTTTCCACTATCCCAACATAACCCCAATGCAATCTGAATATAACCCCAACAAAACCCTAATCTAACGCGAATGTAACCCCAATATGACCCTATTGTTATCCCAGTAGATGACAAAATGCTGCTCGGCCACCCAATTTGGGCCACCTCTGCATCAGTCAGTAGAGCCTGTGTAACAGTGGCTTCAACTGGGTTGCTGTGGTTGCTGTTAATGGACCCGAATTACGTTATCATAATGGGTATATATAGTAACTAGTATGGTTTCCCGAATATGGTAACTTAAATAATCTTCCTCAACAGCAACCCAGCCAAGATGGCCAAGATGGCTGAGAGTTTTGCAGGTGGGCAGGACGCTTTTCCGTGCTTCCAGTACACAAGCAGCTGATCATCTCATGCTACTCTGATTTTCCAGTTTCCGGCTGGATACAGAAATCGAACACGTATGAATACACTTGCATGAATATGTCGCAAAGCACGGTTCCCTTTTAACGTACCGCTGTGAAGTGCGAGCACTTCAGTGTTTCGTTTCAAAGCTTCATATTTGGACGGCTCAGTCTGGCTCATACGTCATGTGGGCAAATCCGTGCGGTTCACAGAACAAGTGGTGTTTGGTTGCAAGCCAACCAACTCCCGATCCTTGAGCCTAGCCTTTCATGGACAAGCAGTGCATCTCCATTGAAGACAGGCTTCTCAAATCCTCAAATCGTGAGCAGGGAACCTCTCTTTCAGGATTCCTCAACTCATAAACTGCGAACCCCGCACCAGTACAGTTCTGATTAAGCATCAGGCAGGTCTCAAAAGCCCCGAATCACAAATCAATATTGGCATCATCATCTATTCTTGCTTTGGTGTTCTATTACTGATAACCCTAAACCCCAAACCCTATATTATTGTTCTTCAGCCACCCGGCTAGTCCGCCTCGTAGAAGTCTTTCCGCCCGGCTGCCACCTGGCAGTCAAGCCATGCTATGTCCAAGAGTTCTTATGTATGAGGGCTTCCCAAAATTAGCGGTACCCTTTAGAGGGGGGTTGGTTATACTAGGGGATATATACATACATATATATATATAATAGGGACTACAATATGTTGGGGTAGGATTTGGGGCTTTGGGTTTGGGGTTTCTCAAAATTTTAAATTAGGGGTACCTTGAACGGGGGTTATACTTGGGGAATCTCGGGGATATATAGAGGACATAATTATAGGGTTTGGGGCTTAGGGTTTAAGGTTTCCCAAAATTAGGGGTACCCATATACGGGTGTATACTAATCAGAAGTGGCCCCTACATCTTGTGCTTCACTAAACCCATCCGTACGCGGGTGAGCGAATGCACTTTCACGTTCCAAGCAAGGCAGGAAACACACGTGGACAAAAACAATTCTGTAGCCAAAATGCCCTGTCATCTTCATTCATTGGAAATCAAAAGTCTAACGAAATATCTGAAGTTCATCACAGCCCCCTTAAATGCTACTCTGCCGCAGCTCAGATTTCCTGCTCAGGCGCTCCAACAGTCCAGCAAGTTAACAGCAGGAGCCCTGGTGGTGCTGCTGGCGTTCTCGGCTTCATCTGATGTGTCACCTGCTGGCATTAAGACATCATAATCTGCTCGTTGAAATTTCTGGACTTGCCACTCAGGAAAGTCGTTCACAAGCATGTCCCAGGACACTTCACTGATGTGCCATGTGGTGTCATATACGCCGCCAAGCAGGCGCACTTTACGATCCATAAAATCCAGAAAGAGCACGGCAAACACAAAAGCTGCAATCCCGTGAAAGGACCATATCCAGCTTTCCTGCAGAATGTCGGCTCCATCATGCCAGAACTGTGGAGCCACGTGCAGTGTGGAAGCTACCCCGCACAGCCACATGCCAAGGTACCAAAAAAGGTCGGAAAGCGGGGACATGTCACGAAGGATATCGCAGAGTGCTCCCTGGGCAACTGCACGACGCCAGAAGTTTGCTGAGTAGGAGAAGCGAAGGCACAGGGCAAGTGGAGCAATGGCTGCAAGGACGGTGAAGCATTTTGCTGCGCCCATCACATGAAAAGACCATTCTTGTTCCACAGAAACGCTCATGAGCTTACGAAATAACGGACCACTGGCAACTGTGGCAATGATAGTATGCTGTAGAAATATCCACACAGCTCGCCCCGTCCGTAGCAGGTGATAGAGTTCGCACTTTTGTTCACAAGAGAGTTGTGGCGGAGGAGCCTCAGGAAGACCGTCATCACCATGTAAGCCTACTGTCAGCAAAGAGCCCGTTGGATGCGAAGGAGCAGTAGCATGAACTATCCTGAATGGAACGTCATATGTGACCGCGTACAGGTAGTCACCATGAAAAACCGAGAGCATCAGACTGATCAGCTTGCTATGCGTTGCGTAGAGCAGGAGGCATGCCGGAACAAAGGTCAGAAGAACAGCAGCATTCGGCAGTTGATAGTAGCATGCAGGGCCAGAAGTGCTTGTTGAGACAAACACCTCACAGGCACCGGCAGCCCACAAGAAGGCACTGATACAAGCTGCGGATTGAAATGCCCAGGATGCAATCCCAACTTTCCTGGGTTGCTGTTAAGGAACTTAAATTAAGTTACTATATATTCGGAAACCCTATTATTTACTATATATATATATATCGATTATGGTAACTTAATTTAAGTTCCTTAACAGCAACCCAGTTTCAGAGTCACTCTTTCCTCCACTCCATATAGCAAGGCCCAGTCATGAACAACCTTCAGTAGGGTCCACGAGGCAATGCAAGCTAGGCTTAAGTGCCTAGAAACACTGACTTTGAGATGATCGCGAATTCCCTCACGCGTAGCGGGATGCTCGCAAAAGGCGTCTGTTGCGTTTCGGTTGCTGGGAAGGCTCACTGATGTGGCGAGTGGGAAGGAAAATGCCGCAGGAAGACAGGCATATAGCAATGGAATTGAATTGGCAAATGAAACTTGTGGAGCAGCTGCACGAAAGTCCTCACCATTCCGGACTGACACGTACATAGGCAGCCATTGAAGGCCTCGAAAGGCTGGGGTTGCAATGATGGCAGAGCTCAGTTCAATGTTAGCAGCAGTGGTTGCTGGCAGATCAGAAGTGCCAAAATACCTGATAAAGCAGCATGCTTCCTCCTTGCTGCATGCCATGTAGTCAGAGCTGCGTCTTTCTTGGATGAAGACGGCCACGAAGGGATAAGAGGCAAGGCAGGTCAGCACCATGCACTTCAGGTATTGCAGCATCATGTCGCCATGCCATCAACCGAAAGGATAACAAGTTCATGGACGGCCCTAAGGACCCAAATAGCCCAATGTAGGTACTATTACAGACTTTCGGGCCCAATGGAGGTATTATCTCTATGCTTGGATCCCTATATAGCATCTTTATAACCCCAATTTCCATTTCATTGTCCATTTTCTTTTCCATTTGATTCTCCACAGTTGGTATCATTTGTGTACTTGGATCCTTAGGGCCGCTTGCTCAATGCTCCGAAACGATAATCAGGGAGTTGTTCTTTGTACCCTTAGGGTTTGTACCCTTGGGGTTTGGGTCCCTAAACCATGGAATATGGCCCTCAATAAGGGTAGTTGGGACCCAAAAACTAGGGATATAAACATTAAGGGTACAAACTTGAAGTCTTTGACATAACAAGTTCATGGGTAGCTATAGTAGGGCTCCGCCGGAGCAGGTTGCTCCGTATCTTTGTTGGACTCATGAAGTGCTTTTGATGCGTGTGCCCATGCAAAACAAAAACTGGGATCTTGATGTACCATTAAGAAGATCTTCTTTATGGATATTGGGCCCAGGTATCCATAAACATGAAAATTTGGTTCTACAAGAGCCCAGAAAACAGGAGTCTGCTTGCATACGGGGGCGTCTCCAGCTGCGGCGATGCTTCCGTTTTGTTATCTGGCTGCACTCAGGATAGATTCTTCTAGGGGCTGCGGAGGATATCCGTGTACAGCCACCGTATGGCGACGGAAAGATGCTGGTCTAATCTGGCAGTCTGAATCCCAAGCCCTAAACGCAATCCTACTGTCTACATGCTGAGCCCAAACCCTAAACCCTAAACCCTACACCCTAAAAACCCTACCCCCCACCAGTTGCAAACATTCCAAAAGCATTTGCCGGCAAGGCAGGCCTTCAGAGGGATACTCGGAATTTAGACTATGGCTCCTTCCTGGGTTGCTGTTAAGGA